GGGATCTGGATCAGCTGGATCGCTGGGCTGAGATGAATGGGATGAGGTTTAACAAGGCCAAGTGTCGGGTCCTGCATTTTGGCCACAACAACCCCATGCAGCACAAAGGCTTGGGGATGAGAGCTTGGATGATTGTGAAGAGCAAAGGGAGCTGGGGGTGTTGGTTGGTGTTGGGCTGAACACGAGCCCACAGGGTGCCCAGGTGGCCAAGAGGGCCAACAGCATCCTGGCCTGCATGAGGAATGGCCAGCAGAGCAGGGAGGGGAGCATCCCCTGCACTCAGCTCTGGGGAGGCTGCACCTCGAGTGCTGTGTTCAGTTTTGGGCCCCTCACTACAGGAAAGATGTTGAGGCCCTGGAGCGTGCAGAGAAGGGCAACAAAATGGTGAGGGGTGTGGAGCACAGGGCTGCTGAGGAGCTGGGATTGTTCAGAGTGGAGAAGAGGAGCTCAGGGCAGAGCTCACTGCACTGTACAACTTCCTGAAGGGAGGCTGCGGTGAAGAGGGATTTGGCCTCTTCTCCCAGGCAACGAGCAGCACACGGGGCAATGGCCGCAGGTTGTAGCAGAGGAGGTTCAGGTTGGACATGAGGAAGAACTTCTTCTCTCAGAGGGTGGTCAGGCAGTGCAATGGCTGCACAGGGAGGTGGTGGAGGCGCCGTCCCTGGTGGTGTTCAAGAGGCGCCTGGATGAGGAGCTGCATGATGTGGTTTAGTACCAGTGGTGGCAATGAGGAGGCGGTTGGACTGGATGATCTTAGAGGTCGTTTCCAACCTTGGGATTCTTGTGATTCTTGTGAACCTCAGCCAGACCCGTTATTGGGGAGGGGGGGGACGCCGGGCAGGGCTCTGCAGGCCGGCTCCCAGCAGCAGCACGCGTCCCACTGCCCCGCAGGTGATGGGCACGCTCTTCATCTACGGCCTGTTCATGGTGGAGCTGCTGCAGGACGCGCCGCTGGAGCGCATGGACGAGATCATCTACTGCGTGAACGCCGTGAGCCGCGTGCTGGAGTTCCTGGTGGCCGTGTGCGTGGTGGCCTACGGCACCTGGGAGTCCGTGTTCGGGGAGTGGAGCTGGATGGGAGCCTCGGTCATCATCATCCATTCCTATTTCAACGTCTGGCTGCGCGCCCAGTCGGGCTGGAGGAGCTTCCTGCTGCGACGAGAGGCTGCCAAGAAGATCAGCTCCCTGCCCCGGGCGACGCGCGGGCAGCTGAGGGACCACGATGATGTCTGTGCCATCTGCTTCCAGGTGAGCCCCTCTGCGAGGACCCCGTTCTGCCCCCCCCCCCCCGGCAGCCCGGCACCGGGTGACGCCCCCTCCGTGCCCGCAGGACATGCAGGTGGCCGTTGTCACCTCCTGCCACCACTTCTTCCACGGCGCCTGCCTCCGCAAGTGGCTCTACGTGCAGGACACGTGTCCCATGTGCCACCAGCGGGTCACGCCGGCGGCCACCGGGGAGGAGGGCGGCGAGGGCGCGGCGGCTCAGCCGGCGCCGGCTCGCGAGGACGAGGCGCCGGGGGACGGAGGAGCCGCAGCCCGGCCCCGGGAGGACGGACCGGCCCCGGGAGAGCCGCTCGGCGGGGTTTGCCTGGATGACGGGACCGGGGTCTGCAGCCCCCGCCTTCCCGTTCGTCCCGACCCCCCCGCACCGGAGGAAGGAGGAGCGGGTGCCGTCCCACCGCCCAGCGCCGTGCCCCGTGAGGACGGGGACGCGCAGCAGCCGGCGCCCTCCGCTGCCGACCCTGGCCTCGACGCGGGGCGCAGCCAGGACAGCCACGGCGACCACCGGCCCTCGTAGCGCAGCCGTGCCCCTGCAATGGGGGGGGTCTCCAGGCCCGCCGGGACGGGGCTCCCCTCCTTGGGGCCGTGCAGGGAACGCGGAGCCGAGCGAGCGGAGCGCCAGCACCGTGCGGCTCCAGGACTCGTTTTTTTTTTGCAATAAATCCGGAGTTGAAGCCGCTGCAGCCGAGCTCCTTCGAGCTGCCCTCGCTGCCGGCCGAGAGCCCTCCGTGGGTGGAAGGGGGACTCCACAGCTCTGCCCGGCGCCGGTGCCTTGGCAGGGTTTTGGTGGCACGGTTGGCGCGGTTCTGGTACGGGTTTGGTGTCGGAAGGACGGCACGGGATGGCGCGGGCTTAGCGGGGGTCTGGGCACTGCGAGCTGTCCCTGCCTGCTCTGCCGCCGAACCCCATCGCCCCGCTCCTGTCCCCGTGCCAGAACGGCACCGTGGGCTCCCTGCGCACCCGGCTCGGCCTCAGAAGCACCGGGGCCGGGGCTGCAGCCCCACGGGGGTCCTCATCCCCCGGTGCTTCGGGGTCGGCGCCGTGAGGGCAGGAGCCAGGATGCGAGGAGGGGTCCCAGGCGTGAGGCCCGGCCCTTCTGTGAGCATCCAGCCCTTCTGGAAGCCCCTTAAGCTGCCTGGAAGGGAGAGGAGGGAGAGTCCCAAGGGCCCGGACCCCCCCTTTCCAGCTCAGCCCCACCCCGCACTTACCCTGACGCCGCGTCCCAGCGGGGCCCGCGCAGCCCATTAGCAGGAGGGAAAGAGAAGCGCTGATGAAACGCCGTTTGGGGCGAGGCAAACAGCGGCGAGACCCTCCTCCCCCCATCCTCCAGCCCTGCGCTGCTGCCCCCAGAGCCGCGCGGGGCTCAAAGCCCTCCGTGCCCCTTTGGCGGAGCGCAGGGATGCAGGGCTGGGAGGGGATTCGGCCCTGGGGGGCACCGGGGGTCCGGGCGGGGGGGGGGTTGGGGTAAGGATGCAATGGGATGCGGGGGGGGGGGCTGGGGTAAGGATGCAATGGGATGCGGGGGGGTCCCTCCTTCCCCGGG